GTGGCGCTCGGGTGGGAGGGGGCGCCCCGGAGCGCGCGGGCGGCGGCGCGGGCGTCCAACTTTCTACGGTCGGGCCCTCGCGCGCTCCCGGGCGGTCCCGGGGGCGCCGACTGTGTCGGTGCCACCCGCGTGGAGTCTGGACCTGGGTGGGCGCAGACCTCGCCCCCGGGACAATTCATCCCTCTAGCTTGGTTCTCGGGACAGCAGTCCCCCGCGGCCAGTGCCTCGGTTTGGGCGGGCTACCAACGGCGCCGCGAGGACACGCCTTACCTGAGCATCCTAGGTCTGTCCTATGAGCCCCGGAGTTGTCTTCTGTGCGCTCCGCCGAGGCCTGGGTCCAGTGTGACACATCAGGATGCTGACGCCCCGTTCTAGGTTCTGCTCCTACTGCCCCTCGTCGGGTTAATCATCCTACCTCCTTTGAGTCTTGGCTGTTAATGGCGTTTTAGATACTTTTGAAGTCCTGGACTTCTCAGATTAGCAAAACCCTAATAGGCTATTTCCTCTTAACCCCTTGCATCCCAGCAGGATCCCATTCAAAGGACTTTCTGGAGAATTTGTATGCATGGGAATGTCCAGCCTTAAACTGCCTCGCCTCGAAGGAATCTGGAAACACCTCAAATGCTTTAAGTACAGGGAGTCCGTGCATTACAACGGAAGGCGTCCCAAGGAGATGGGAGAGTACTTTACTTTGTATGGTGTTTGACAACTCCTGTACTCCTGAATTATCTCATTTGACCATCACTGTACAAAAGGATAGGCTTCTATTTTACTCTTTTGACCACAGAGGAAATTAAGCTCTAACAAATGAGGTGACTTGCTACAGGTCAAACCCTCCTACCCCGAAAGCCAGGCCGGAACTAACTGCTAGTCCAGAGGGCTGGCCATCTGGCCCACTGACAAAAGTTTTGTTTGGCCGGTAGGATGTTTTCTAAAAGTATGCATTAATTGCCAAAAGTTTAAAATCCAGATCTTTGGCTTCTCTCTAAATAGTGAGAAAAAAAAATTCCTCCCTTTGAGCCTCTAGTTTCATCGGCGGCTACTTCTGAGTAATATTTGTTTGTGCAGGGCAGGCACTGTTCCCACTTAGCTGCTTGAATCATTTTCATTACCTGCTTGGCCTCTGTATTTAAGTTCTCCTCCCCTCTCCCCCCGCTGAACTCGCAGTGCCACATTCATCCCCAACCCCTTCCTTATCACATTCCCTCTCTACAAATGTATTTAAAATGACAAGTGTGATGACCTTGTAAATATATGAAAATATGATAAAGAACACATCAAGCTAAAATAACACAGGAGACAACATTACTACATATGCTGATTAAAATATTAAAACTAACATCCTGCTAGTGCAATTCTATATTGGTACAAATTGCTTTGGAAAATGGCAATATCTACTAAAGCTAAACCTATGCCTACACTGTGACTGCAATTCCATGGAAATTCCACAGAACTGTGTACAGATGTACACAAACTACATGAATTAATGTGTTCATAGCAGCACTATTTGTAATAGCCAGAGAACTGGAAAGCCCCCAAATGTCCAACAACTATAGAAAGGATAGATGAAATGTTCTAGTCACACAATGGTACCTAATGCAGCAATGAGAATGAACCATCTACAATCACACACACAAGATAGATGAATCTCACAAAACTTTCCATTTATATGAAGTTCAAAAACAGGCTAAAGTGTCCTGTGCTCTTGAGTAAGGATAGTGGTTACCTGGGCTAAGATTAGTCATAGGGAATATGAGGGGGCTTCTGGGGAACTGGTCCTGTTCTTTTCTTGATCTGGAGGTTGAATACACAGATGTGTTCAGTTACCACATCTGAGCTGTACACTTTTGATAGTGCATTTTTGTGCGGCATATTAAGATTTCAACAAAAACCTTTAAAGTGGTGGAGCGCCTGGGTGGCTCGGTTGGGCGTCCGACTCTTGGTTTCTGCTCAGGTCATGATCTCAGGGTTGTGGAATCGAGCCCTGCGCCAGGCTCTGCGCTGGGCAGGGAGTCTGCATGACATTCTCCCCGTCTGCCCCTTGCCCCACACCCTCTCTCACTCAAATAAATAAATCTTAAAAAAAAAAAACCAAAGACTTTAAAGTGGTGTCAAAACATTTGATTATATATGTATATTTCATATATTAATAACACATATAAATGTTCATTAGGTATTATTTTCCTATAAGTTCATGGATGAAACTGCTGAGGAAGGCTTCCTATCTTTTAGCATTGACCATTCTTCATGGAGATTGGGAACAATACACTTTCTGTATTTGTTACCTTACTACCAAGCCTGTAGCCCTCTCTCTCTTCTGGTAGAGAAACCTTTTAAAGATGGAAATAATGAGGTGCCTGGGTGGCTCAGTCGGTTAAGCGTCTGTCTTTGGCTCAGGTCATGATCCCAGAGTCCTGGGATCATCGAGCCCCACGTCAGGCTCCCTGCTCAGCAGGAGAGTCTGCTTCTCCCCTTCCCTCTGCCCAAACCCCCGCTCATGCCCTCTCTGTCTCTCTTGCTCATTCTCTCTCTAAAATAAAAACATGAAATCTTAAAAAAAAGAAAAAAGGGAAATAATAAGACCCATGGAAGCTAAGCTGTTTAACCTGCAGATAGTTAAAAAAAAAAAAAAACAGAAATATAACTCTTCTTTTATCACCTTGCCAGCTAGTGACATCTTTCAATCCAGTTATAGGTGGTAAACTGAAGCCAGAAACCTAAGCCAGAGGATCTCTGATACAGTCACCAGTGATGTAGGAAAGATGTTAGGGTTTGAAGCCGACGGCCAAGAAAGAATTCTTGAGATGTCTCTGGTGCAAAAAGATGGTTTTATTAAAGTACTGGGACGGGACCCATGGGCAGAAAGAGGGGCACTGGGGTTGTGAGGAGCAATTGATGATATACTTGGAGTTGGGGGAGGTAAGGGAAAAGGGAGGTTTTCAGAACTTTCATATGCTAAACAGGACCTACGAGATACTGGAGGCCTTGCCCTTGTCAAGTTAAGGTTGTTTTTCCCTCTAGCAAGGCATTAACATTAAGACAGTTGGGAGCTTCCTGGAAGAACATTATACTATGCCTGCCTCAAGTATTGGTCAATAGGCTGCACGTTATAAGGACATTTAATTTTATCTACATTTTCTCCTGGAAGCTAGGTTATTGGTAAGAATGCTTTTTCTTGTAAATCACTAAGACATTTGTAAACTGAGGGAGACTCCTGCCTTGAAGGAGTGTAATCTCTGTAAGTTAACTGTTTGTTTTTCATTCCCTTAGCTTTAGGGCTGAGGAATGTCACATATATCCCACCTGCGGGGGAGGGGGTTGTCGGGTGTCAGCTTGTGCTTTGTTCTCAGCTTGCCTTCTGCTCCCTCATCAACCAGGATCTAGCAACCGCTAGAATGTGAGTTCCCTGAAGGCAGGACCATTGCCTGTCAGCTTCTAGAGCAGAGTGCCGCACATGGTAGGTGCTTAGCAAGTACACGCCGAGTGAATGAGTGACTGAGAGCTTGCCATGGCTAGCACAAAAAGACAGGCTACCCGAGGGAAGGAAAAAAAAAAAGAGCCCCAGGCTTCAAACAGGGAAGGGGTCTGGTTTCCAAGCCTCTGGCACAGAGTGGTGGAGGCCGGTGCTGTGAGAACTGCATCACTTTTTATTCACATGGGGCCCAGGCAGGAAAGGATCAAAACCCAGTTTGAGAACTTGAGAGTCACCCTGGGGCTCTGTGGTTTGGGAACTGCAAGGTCAACTTGAAGACTCCAGTGTGTCACTATTTCCATTACACATTTTCCAGGGTCCCCACTTGGCTGATAAACTCAGAGTAGATTGCTGTGTCCTGGGGGATGGGAGCAAAGGCTCAGAGAGGTAGGATTTTCGGAAAGCTCCCTGTTGGCAACAGGAAGCCCTGTGGGCCCCAGACTGGCTGGATAGTGAGGAAGCTTCTCGTTAAAGCAGCTCTTGATTGCATGTGCTAATGGGGAGGCAGGTATGAGTAGCACACCCCTTTCTCCAGAACCCCCAGCAGTTTTAGTTGACCTGTGGGACACATTATACTGTTTCTGTCACAGGGATGGTGGGTGAGGCAGATTTTTTGTTGTTGTCAAAAATTTTTTTTAATATGTTAACACAAGTAGTATAAGGAAGAACAGTAGGATGACCCTCACCACTGTTCCTGGAGCCCAGTTAGCAGTTCCTTGTATTAAGGCAGAATTTTAAATTAAGGTCAATTTACTTGCAAATGAGGGATAGGTGAAGTGTGTGCAGGAGATGGGGGTGGGGGGACGCATATGGGAGAGGACCCATTCTGTGCTGGCTCAGGAACTACCCTGCGTTAGTGAGAAGCAGTGCAGTAGGTGCAGTCTTTGAATTTCTGGAAGTTCTCTCTGCCCAGCTGTTTGTACTTGTTTACTCATATTTCTACGATGGTGTGAGAATGTGATGGTGTGAGAATGTGATGGTGAAATGTACATGAAGTCCCATTATTACTTGCTATGTTAACTTTCCACTGTAAGCTGGTCTATAGCGGTTAACATTATTGGTTGGATAGCTCAGCCATTTACTTGCTGTGCCATCTGGCTGTTACTTCCCCTCTCTGAGCCATGGTTTCCTTATCTGTAAAATGGGGATGAGATCCATCTGTTGGGACTTTGTGAAGATGAAATAAAATATGTGAAGTGCCTAAAACGTGTAGGCTCCAAAGGCATTAGTCCCCTCCCACAGTGTTCTTTGGAGGAAGCCAGGTAATTTGGGTATTCAAAAGCACCCACCACAAGGATCTTGGCAAAACATTTCAAATCCCTGCGCATCCATTCATCATCTGAGACAGGTGTGTCTCAATATGCAGCTCAAAATTGGTCCTTCACAAGACGTGATCCTACGACGTCAGCATTACTACAGTCGGATGCAGCCTTCCAATCGCTACCATCCACACCCTCTTAGAAGCTTTTTAAATGTGTGAGTAGTCTCCCCAGAAAGATAAGTGGTAACAAAGGCACTTTCCTGGCCCCAGGCCTGTTGCTCTTGGGGCTGTCCTTGGACAAAAACTGCAGGGTCATTAGAACTTACTGCCTGCTTTTAGGGGAGGGGATGTCTTACCCTCCCTACCCCAGGCACCTTCTAGAGGCTGCCTCAGCCTAGCCCTGTTATTTGGAAACTTCCAGCCCCAGCCTGCTCCTGTTCCCCCCCACTCCTGGCACCTCCAGTCCCTGAGACACTACTATATATGGCCTAATGTTTCCTCTCCTGTGATTCCCCCAGCCCTTCAGCCTGGGTCCTCCTCATTCCAACCCCAATTCAAGCATCTTCTGTTCCTTGTCCAGTTCATTCTTCAGCATCTCCTCACTCACAGCACTCCTTTAGCTCAAGGCAAAAGAGTTGCGGGGTGCCTGGGTGGCTCAGTGGTTAAGCGTCTGCCTTCGGCTCAGGTCATGATCCCAGGGTCCTGGGGTCGAGTCCCGCATCGGGCTCCTTGCTCAGCGGGGAGCCTGCTTCTCCCTCTCCCTCCCCCCCCTGCTTATGTTCTCTCTCTGGCTGTCTCTCTCTGTCAAATAAATAAATAAAATCTTAAAAAAAAAAAAAAAAAAGAGTTGCTGGCCCTCCTTTCCCTGCCTGGTCCCTCAGCTCCCTTGGGCTATATATAGCATAGCAATGCCTTGATTTGTGTAGTGCTTCAAGTCCTGGCCACCCCCTCCCACACAATAGGGAGAAGAAGCCTGAAGAAGGTTGAAGAGGGACAAGGGTGTGCTGAACTGGGACCACCCGGAACGTGGCAACCTTTTCATCTATTGTCAGGGACTTTCTACTTCTCCCCCAGCCTGCTACCCGTTTCCTGACACTTGCTCATTCTGGAAGGAAGAGGAGCAGGCCATGTGCAGGGGAATTCTAACAATCATCTTATTTAACTCTTACAATGATCCTATGGGGAGATGCTACCTCCATTTTACAGATGATGGCATAGACTCAAAAGACGTTGAGTGGCAAAAGACCAAGTATTCAGAGAGTGGTCATTCAAGCAGCTAACTGATCCCATGTCTGCCTGTGGCCTATGCTCCGGATCCATTAAGTCTGTCTGCATCACTCAATTAGACCCTTCTAAATTAGAATTTCTATGAGTGTGACATGACCTGGAAGGAAAAAGGGTTTACTAAGCAAATTACTAATGTAGAAATGCTTAAATAGAAATAATTATTGAAGACTTGGCATAGTAACAAAAATATTATCATAATTTATCTTAGCTGTTTACTGAAGCGGTAGTCTACAGAAATCTGTTCTTGAAGTTTTACTGTGTTCTCAGAAGTAAAAAGGAATTTTATTTCTTCTATTTCAAGAGACTTTCCCTCCAGTTTACAATCCTTCTCCCATTAGTCCAGAGCAGTGAGATTTGATTTTAGGGACAGTTATTAGTCTGGTTCTTTCTTGTGTCACTTACTGTGACCCAGAGCAAGACATTTAACCCAAGCCTCAGTTTTTCATCTGTGAAATGGGGATAATAGTATCTACCTTACAGAATTGTGAGGATTAAATAAAAATAACCTACTTAAAGCAATTAGCACATTTCTTGTCCCATGGGTACTCAGAAAATCGTATTCTTTTCTCAATTCTGGGCTGAGATGTTATAGGAGCATCAACAGAAGCCCAATAAGGGAGAACCTCTTTGAACTTCGCTCTCCATAGCTTGGACCCTATTCTCCAAAGGGTTTGGAGTTGATCCTGATTCTTGCTCTGTCTCAGCCAGGCATTTCATCCCCCTGCCTCTGGCCCAGACCATCCATCTCTTGAGAATTCAGGCCACCACTGGGACCAGGAGAGGCAGCCCGGGAGAGTGTGTGTGAATGACTGGGAAGAGAGTTCCCATGGACGCTGGGGATATGTGAAGGCCCTGGGGAGCTGCTGTGACCCTGGGTCTTTTCCTAGGGCAGTGAGTGCTGGGGAGAGAAAAGAAAGACTTCAGCTGCTGGACAGATTTCCAGTGCTGAAAAGCCCCGTTCGGATAGACACATGGGGCTGAGGATGTAGGGAAGGAACAAAGGCCTGGGATGGAGTGGGCCTCTCCATAGTGTACTCCAATCTTTCTCCACTTGCTTATTAGCAAGAAGGTTCTTTCCTCCTCTTCTCTGAATCCAGGGTGCCACAATTGATTAGCATTCCTAAGCTTCAGCCTGGATGGAGAGGTTCTGCTTGGCCAGCCTATGGGAAGCAGGCTACAAGTACAAACTCTGGAGCCAGTCAGACCTAGATTCAGATCATGACATTGCCATTTACTAGCTGTGCACCCTTGGATAAGTCTTTTAGCCTCTCAGAAGCTCAGTTCCCAGTCTATGAACAAACTACTACTTACTGTATAGAACAACTGAAAGGCCTGAAATGTAAATACCTCATATTAGGTGATAATGCAGGTCAATTGTCATCTCTGTCCTGAATGAGCATGAGTGAGCATCTCACCCCTGTAGGCACTATAAGGAGCGCTGGAGATGTGACGAAGTCCTAGTGGTTATAAACTGGATGAATCTCCTTGGTCCAGAAAGCATCCTTGAAAGGATCAAGACCACAGTTGGGAATAGGGGCATTTTATTTACATCCCACATTGTTCGTGAGTGTTCGAAGCAGTATAGCTTGCGGGAGAACCAAGGATCTCTCTCGTTTCTTGCCTCTGTATTTCCAGCTCAGTTCTCTGTAGCAAGTCCCTGTCTGATCCAGCCCCTTACATCCATGGGAATTAACACACTGAATCTAGTTAAGTGCTCCCACCATCTGATCTTTCATTACCTTCCGGTGCTTGAAGCTCTGGCCTGGAACTCAGCAAATGGGGGGTTAAGACTGATGCCCTGGCCTATCTCCTCCCCTCTCCATTCCTGACTTCAAAGTCCCCATTAAAGCTTGCTTCCCTGACCCCACAGTGGCAGCTCCATCATCAGCTCCTGGCCGGTTCAAAACAGCAGATGCTGAGCCCTGGCCGGGCTGCTCGCACTCTACTTTCTAGCCATCTCCTAGGGTAAGCACCAGCATGCTGAGAACCTGTGGGGCTGACAGTCCTTGCTCCTCCAGGAGAGAAGAGGCAACTAGGAATAGAGGTCACCTCGTGCAGGGAGTCTGTCTCACGGTCGGACCCAGAAGGCACCGCATAGGCAGAAGCCCTGGTCTATGGACCAGGACTCTGGGGCTCCGTCTAGTTTGTGATCAGAGCAGATGTTTACTGGGGTTAGCAAGTAGAGCAATACCTGCCCAGAGAGGAAGGCAGGGGTTCGGCAATGGCAAAGAACCTGGCAAGAGATGGAAATGTGAGCAGTTCAGGAACCAGAATTAGTTCCATTAGTACTAATGTCCAAAATCTATGCTAAATTATTCACAAATCAATGTCCAGTCATCTTAATCTTTGGCTCTGGTGATTCAGTAGCCAGTGCTGGGACACTGGGATGGCTCTGGCTCTCTGGGGCCAGATCCTATTCTGTGGCTCCCTCAGGGAACGGTCACAGATTCAAGACCAGTGGAGGGCCCAAGCCTCAATGCCTTTTCCTCCCACCCTCATCTGTGGATTTTTCCAGCTGCTTTTCTCAACCCAAGCATCACATAGGGATACTGATGGCGGGGGAGGAGGGCAGGGAAAACAGTGAAGTCAGACTGAGCTGCGGAAGAAGAGATGGGAGAAATGGCACTAATGGTCCAGCTATCTGAGACAGGACACTTGGGACTTTTCAAGTAGCGGTGTGTTGGGGCATGGTAAGAGAAGGTCTTAGCAGGCAACTCCTTCCTTTCTCTCCCAGACTGAGGAGAATCGGGAGTTATTGTGGGGTGCCTCTTTCTAGGACTGGGCTGAAGCCTCAGAGCCCCAGCTGATAACCCTGGGGCCAGATCATGTCAGCTAACAAAGGCTGGTGGGTACCACCTGAGGGCGAAGACAGTGTGTCTCAGAAGTTCCTGAGGAAGACCAGGGAGTCTCCGCTGGTGCCTGTAGGTGAGTAGGAAAGTAAGGAAAGAGGGCGAGGAGGGGCCTTCCCTCAGAGAACAGGTCTCCTAGTCTTTTCAAATGAAGCAGGGAACTCAGGTGTCATACCCGTTGAGCAGTTACCAGCCAGGAAAGGAGTGAACCAGCAGCAAAGGTGCCAAGGGACGAAGGGACACGCCTGACAATGAAATAAGGGAGTCTGGATGGGTGGAGGTGGTGGCCGAGGGCTTGGGGTGTGGGGAAACATGGGGCATCAACACCTGTGTGAGGAGAGGGAGGAGCAGTTTGGGGTCTCCCAGGGCTTCCTTCCTCAAGGTCTTGGGAGAGAAGTAAAGTAGCTGTGGGAGCCAACAGCGGTTGGAGAAGGGCCTGAGCAGAGCCAATGGGGGTAGGGGGCTCAGGATGGGCTATTTGTACATAGAGGAGGCCTCACTGGAGGGAGGCAGCCACTTTGAAAATGCCACCAAGAGGAAACAACTCAATATTCTGATGATGGTCCCCCCTCTCCCGCCATGAAGTGGCAGGAAAGTAGGGGTTTATCCAGATGCCCAGGCTACCTAAGTGAGGGGGTCTCTCATCAGGGGAACCACGTGATTGGTGACTGAGGCCCAACGGTCACGTTCTCTGCCTATAGGCTTAGGAGGCTGCCTGGCAGTGGCAGCCTACCGGATTTATCGGCTGAAGGCCCGTGGTTCCACCAAGATGTCCATACACCTGATTCACACCCGAGTGGCGGCGCAGGCCTGTGCTGTGGGTGCAGTCATGCTAGGTGAGTGGCTGCCAGGGTCCCAGGAGAATAAGAACAGAGCTGATGAGGCAAAATCTGGCTGTGAGTCCTGACAGTTAAGGGATGCTGATTTTAGTCCCTGTTCCCTATAGTAAGCTCCACAGCAAGTCTTGGGTGACACTCCCAAACCAAGCCATTTTCAGGATTCCTTGTTTTATCTCCTGTCCCAGGGCCTGTGGGGATGGTGCAGTTGGTTTCGTGACAGTTTGTTCTAGATGTGAGAAAAATCACACAGCAGAACATATGCTGAACTTCTCTTCCTCTCTGGGTCAAGAGGCAGGCAGCTACGGACTAGCTGTGTGACCGTGGACAAATCCTTCTCTGAGCCTCAGTTTGTGTCCAACATGATGATAAGCACCCTGGCTTGCCTACCTTGCAGGCTGCTGTGAGGTTTCTCAGATAGGTAATCTGTGTGGAAGGGCTTTGTGAACTGTCAACGGGGTGTTTCCCTAGGCCGTGTGGTCAGGTGCTCATGGCAGCTGTTGAGACCCAGAGCAAAAAGATGAGCAGAGAAGCTGGACTCTCAGGGGAACGGCTGGAGTCAGACTCCTGGGAGAGCCAGAGGATGGGTGCAGGGTTCGGTGTTATGGGATGTTTTCCCTTCCCCTTCCTGCAGGTGCTGTGTACACGATGTATAGAGACTACATCAAGAGAATAGCACAGGATCCTGGGGAGAAGTAGGACTCCTGTAGAGCCTGGGGCCACCAGAGCCTCTTCCATCAATCCCTGGTACGTTCCTAATAAAGCAGTTCTGAGGAAAATCAAGTCTCTTCACATGGGGGACAGCAGAATAAGGGACCGGTAGCGGCTCGGGGTGGGGGGTGGTGTGTGTGTGTGTGTGTGTGTTTTAGAGAAAGGGCTAGAAATCAGAGCTCTGGCCCCCAGCTCCAGGGCAAGGAAGGTTCTCCAGAGGCAACAGCTTCTGGTCCCAAAAGCCTAACACCTCCCAAGCCAGCCCAGGTCCCACCCAGAAGAAGCAGAGTAGAGAGGCAGGAAGGTGGAGGCAAGAAAGTGGCCTCAACGTTCACGGGAGCACTGAATTGAGAGGCAGGCATCCCTCCCACCACAGGCTGCTGCCCTGGGGACCCAGGCAGGAAGACTGCAGCTGGGAGAAGAGACACAGGAGACAACATATATTCAGAACCCAAGTACCAGGGCCAGACTGTGCTGGAGGGAAGGGGACGGGGGTGGGGATGAAAGGAACAGAGCAAGGCAGAGGTCAGAGTGTTCTGTTCACTTAAAAACCATGTCTAAGGTCAAACTTGTAAAAAAAAAAAAAGAAAAAGAAAAAATTCCATGTAAATCCTGAAGACAGGGCCCCTTGGGGTTAAACACTTCATCCCCTTCTTCTTCTCGGAGTCCAAGCTCCACTCTGTTCCCTGGGAATGGAGCCAGGCAGAGGCCGCAGAGGAACTAGGAGGCCAAATACTCCTCCCTTGCTGGGACTCTGGGTTGGAGGGTTTGGGGTTGTTAAAAATGGCCATAGCAGCTCTCAGACGCTCTCTGACAACATGGAGTCCGGGTCACACCAGGTCCCAGCTTCAAGTCCAGGATACAGCCCGCTGCAGGGAGCAGGGCTGCCAGGAGTCCCAGCACTCACATGGGGTAATTGAGCACAACATCCTGCTTGGCGAGTTCCAGCAACATGGGATCATCGAAGAACTTGCTGATGCTTACATCCTCACTCAGGCCCTGCAAAGAGTGGGAGCGATGCAGGAAAGAGCCCTATGTGGTGACCAACAGAGCTGAAAGGCTGTCCAAGACCTGTGCTGGAGGGGGAGGCTGATGGGGGTGGAACTTTGGTCCAACTATTTCAGGAATCGCCACTGGGGAGAAGATGCTCCCTTGCCGGCCAGACTGGTGGCCCAAGGCCTGTACAGACTGCACCTCTCTGCACTGTGCAGTGACCTGCTCTCAGTCTTTGGGAGAAAGGTCCCAAAGGAAGAAATGAAAAGAGATCCAACTCCTGCCAAGAGCCCTGGGGACTGAGGGTTGGCCATGGGCCCCAGGGACGCATACCTTCCTGCGACGGGTTTTGATCATGAATTCCCGGGCCAGGTGAGGAGCAGGCTGTGGCTCCAGGGGGCGGATGACAATGCTCTTGTCCAGAGGATCGCCAGGTACAATCTGAAAGGTAAAGTGATTTCAGATGGTCTAGGACTCTTCTCTAGGATACTGGAAATCTCACCTGGGAAGGGGAACAGGCCAGAGGGGACTGGCTTTGAACAGGTGGGAGGGCACACTGGCCAGCCTGCATCATTTTCTCACCTGCCAATGGTGGAAGACAGACAAGGAAAAGGCCTGCCCTTGGGTGTGAGTCCGCAGATCAGTCTCAAAGCCAAAAGAATCAATGGCAGGGATGAAAGCTTTGATGGTGTAGAGAGGGGAGCCTGGGATGGGTGCATCCTGAGTCACGTGCCCCCTGTGACAGAAAAAGAAAGGGTGAGTCCCTTGTCCTACAGAGACCAAAAGCAGAGAAAGAATCTGGCCCCAAATGTACCACAACACAGTTACCATCAAGGAAAGAATAACCACAATCATGCTATAGTGGGCAGAAAAGGCTTGGGGCCCTCAGTGTCATTTCCTGTGGCTGTCAAAGGGGCAGTGACCTCTAGGCAAGAGTGGAAACACTGGGGCGCCTGGGTGGCTCAGTCGTTAAGCGTCTGCCTTTGGCTCAGGTCATGATCCCAGGGTCCTGGGATCGAGCCCCGCATCGGCCTCCCTGCTCCGCGGGAAGCCTGCTCCTCCCTCTCCCACTCCCCCTGCTTGTGTTCCCTCTCTCGCTGTGTCTCTCTCTGTCAAATAAATAAAATCTTTAAAAAAAAAAGAATGGAAACACTGACGAGACAAGGTCCTATAGACATTCCCCCCACTGACACATTTCAGTACCTTCCCCAAGGACTCTCCAAGGAGAGAGGGCCCAAAAAAGAATCTCAAAATTTTTATCTGCAGTGAAGCTGGGGATTTCCTCAAATCTTTCCTACTTCTGAAAAACCAGCTCAGTTGGTTTTTAGGAGCAGAAACTGTGTAGGAGGCCCATCTCCTTCCCCACGGGAGCCCAATAACTTCTTGCTGTGCTCCTGCTCTCTGCACCCTCCCTAACATGCCCTGCTGGTGGCTCACCTGCGCCTGGCCAGGACAGTGTACACAGCAGAGACACAATCCGCAGGGGCCTGGACCTCCACAAAGTAGTAAGGCTCCATCAGGCGAGGAGTGGCCTGCAATGGGGGCAAGAAGAAAGGCTTGCTCAGCTTGGGGAAGGCTGAGGACTGAGGATCCAGGTAAAGAAAAGGCTGGAGGGACTGTAGTCCTGATGCCCCCAAAGGTTGGACCTCCACTTAATGCCCTGGAGCAGGTCAGCCCCACCACTCACCATGAGGAAGGCAGAATAGACGACTCTCCTTGCCGTGGGGATGATCTGGCCCCCACCCCGGTGCAGGGGCTCTTGGGCAACCACTGCATCGAGGATCTTAAACTTGACATTTCGAATCACTGAAACAGAGATGGGGGAGCTGCTGAGTGAGGAGCAGTTGCAGGGCTAGTCAAGGGCCCAAGGGCAGAGCAGCAAGGAGCCTCTAGCTGCATGGCAGCTGTCTTGAGGCCACAAAAGATATGGCTCACAATCACCCTGCAGATGAGTGTTCTGATAGGATGCCAAGGCCTACAGCAGAGAACGGAAGTTAAGCACACGTTCTTTGTGTTGGTTTCAGGTCATGCTCAGGCATCGTAAAGCCTTCCTAGATGTTTATGTGTTTTTCTTACAGATATTTAATTATGTTTGAATGCAGAGTAAGTTCTAGGAATTGCACATTTCTTCCCACTAAATCCAACCATGGTCTATAAACCACTCTGATCCCACCTCCCTCCTAATACCTCTCCTTGAACACATTCCTTCTCAGGACTGAGGAGCAAATGTCAGCCTAGAAATAACTTCATTTCGGACGTCCCGAGCAATAGCACTAGGACAGGGAGGGAGGGGAGGAGAGGATGCTGCCCCAGGACACGGGATGGCCCCGTGTGCCCCGAGCTGCTTCTCCTGCCAGCGCCCATAGATGAGCCTAGCCCACCCCACACGCCCAGGCTCGAGGACCCTAGAGGTCTGGGCAGGGGAGGCCGAGGCACGGGTGGAACTTACGCTCATCACAGAGGGGCCCCTCCCGGGTTCCCCACTGGAAACCTTGAACGATGCTGTCCTTCACTGAACCAAGAAGAGCCTTGTCTACCTGCACAAAACACGAGGGCACATGTGAGCAGCGACCCTGGCAACAACCAGAGTTTAGAGGGAGTAGAAGGTAGGTATACTGGTAAGAAGATTCACCAGAAGCCACAAAATACTTTGGGGAAAAGAAGTACACTTCATAGTTTCTTCCACTCAACAGCGAAGAAACCACCTCTATGGCTCCCATTAGTTCTGCTGTACCTCAGAGGGCAGGGTATCATCCACCAGGATGTTGGGGCCGGTGGCATCAGGGCCGAAAGCCCAGATGGAACGTGCAGCCAGCAGATCCCAATCGTACTTGGTCTGAAAGAATTCTCCCAGTTTCTTCCTGGGGGGGAAGGATGAGACAATGGAGGTATCCGGCAGCTCTGCAGTTATTGCCTGCTGGGGTCACAGATCCTGCCTTCCTGGAGGACAGTTCACTTCCCAGGACAGGTGGCATTAGAGACTGGGCGGGCAGGCTGTGGCGCCTCGTCTCCTTTCAAGCCTTGGAACCATAGCCACGTTCTCACCTGTTCCAAGTGATCTGGACCACCTCGTTCTCTATGTCCTCGGCGAGGCCCTTCTCAAGAGGCTCGGCAATCATGGTGATCTTGTTCCTAGTCAGACAGGAAACGGGTAGTGATGAGGATCAGCAGGACTCACAGAAGGCGCATTCCTAAGAAAAGGCTGGCAAGGCAGTGACGCCAGTAGAAGCCAGATGGGCCAGAGTAGAGCAAAAAGGTTCATCTTCTGTCTTCTTCATTCAAATCTACCACTCTTTAAAAAAGTGAGGTCTCAGGGCTCCTGGCCGGCTCCCTCAGTGGAGCATGTGGCTCTTGATCTCAGGGTCGTGAGTTTGAGCCCCATGCTGGGGGTAAAGATTACTTAAAAATAGAATCTTAAAAAAACAAAAAACAGTGGAGCTGCTGCTAGGGCAAAATTTTAAGATGATCATATACAGAAAGAAGTGGCAATGCGGACACTCATCCTTGGGGTACTTCTTTTTTTTTTTTTTTTTTTAAGATTCTATTTATTTATTTGAGAGAGAGAATGACATAGAGATAGCATGAGAGGGGGGAGGGTCAGAGGGAGAAGCAGACTCCCTGCTCAGCAGGGAGCCCGATGTGGGACTCGATCCTGGGACTCCAGGATCATGACCTGAGCCGAAGGCAGTCGCTCAACCAACTGAGCCACCCAGGCGCCCCCCTTGGGGTACTTCTGGCAAAGAATCCCACAGCATCATGTCTACAGGCCTAAGGGATGAGAGTGCTGGGGTAAAACTCCAGCATCCTAAGACCCCATCCTAAGACTCAGGGGGTCTGTTTCCACAGCGCTTGTGATTAGGGCAGAGTGGCGCGGGCAGAGAAGAGTGTCCCCTGTCAGTCCCAGGGTCACTCAGACCCCCAGCTCACTTCTTATTGGGCGTTTCAGCAAAGCACTTGAGGGAAGATGTTTCCACCACCGTCTCACAAAACGTGACAACAGGGTCAGCCACCTGGGAAACAGAATAAATTGTTAGGCAAAGTCTCAATTTGTTGGAAGGACAATCTTCTGCCAAAGGGAATTCTGAGGTCCCCTTGGCACCACCTCTGCAATAACACCCCGTTCTTAACCAGCATCAACAACAAGTACCATAGCGGGCTAAAAGTGCGTACCAGCACTAAGCAGCCTGAGAAAGCTTAGCCGAGTGCGGGGTTTGTGTTCCTCAGCCAAGAGTTAAGTGCGAGTCGAACCTGGGGCTAAATGACAGTCCCCCAAGGTCTCTTCCAACATCTGTTCAGCCATCCCACCGCTCACTGAACAGCTCCCGTGGCTCTGTCACAGCGGGCACTAGGGACTGCCTGGCAGGTCCCCATTCCATTCTGAACCCCTGCCTCTGGGTAGCACAGCTCCTCCCTGAGGCTCCCACACGGCCGGCTACCAGGGAACTCAGTATCTTCTAGAGCACCAGTCCTCGGCACATCAGGAGGAGCGTCTAAGACAGGTACGTGAGGGCACTCACTCCCACCACCACAGGAGCTAGGAGAAAATATGTGTACCAAGAAGGCGCACTTGAACTGAGGGGCCACAGCATGACCTGACAGCAAACCCAGGAGGGCCAGTCCTCACTCCCTAAAATGATCCACTGAGCCCTAATCACCAAAGATGGGTTCTTAACAGAAGACCAAGAATCACTTTGGCTTGGGAGCCTTGACTTTAAACGTATGACATTGAGAATAACCCTGCCGGAAGGGGCAAACCAGATCTCAGATACCTTCCCATATAGGGAGCAACAGGTCATACTTTTCCCAAACACGTCTCCTCTCCTAGTGCCCCCCTCTTCCCTCAGGCCTTCCAGGCGAATCAAGGGTTTGGCTGCTTGTAAAATCAGTCTGGAGCCGTGAGCCAAGCTCCTGGCTGGGCAGGCGCTCAAGAAAGGGGACGCTGATTTACCTTGATGTCGATCTCTGAGTACATCTTCCGCAAGTCGTGCATCACACAGTCCAAGTAGAGCTCCCCAGTACCCAGAATCACGTGCTCCCCAGACTCTTCCACCTGAAACGCAACAGCTCTGGCAGTCACAGCCTGGACCTTCTGTGCCAGCACCAGAATCAACATGAGAGCCCAGGAGGCGGCGCCCGAACCTACTATGGAAAGCCACTGCTCAGCATCAGTTCTAGCCTCTTCAAGAAGGACCACTGGGGAACAGGGACCTATGAGTTAATCCTCAAGACATCTGGACCATTCAGCAATAGTGCTACTGGGCATAAGGTCACCAACTTATTTCCGTCACAACCGTTTAGGGAACACACTGCCCTATGTCTACAGACATAAATTGACCCTTTAGCCCTGGCCAACTACTCAGAAAAGTATGCTAGAAGGCTCAAGAATGTAGAAGAATCAGAATGACTCACTTTTCCCTCTATATTTTCTGGAAAAATCAATTCAAAGTGTACTCTCCAAGACACATCTCTTTCCCATTGAAAGATACTGTGGGATATGAACACACGCACGTGCACTCACTGCCCCCCACCCCCATGTCCTGCTTTGAAATGATAACGGCAGACGGGGATACTTGCTCCTGACATAGGCTGCTGGAAGCAGATCAGACAGACCTGGTGGACATGAGGCCGTGGGCAGCACAGAGCTGTAAGCCGGGCAACGGGGCCTGGCAGCTCCCACATGCCCTGAGCATACCTTGGTGGTGAGGGATGGATAGCTCTTGTTGACCTTGCGAAGACCGTCCAGCATCTTGGGCAGCTCTGAGGGGTTGACCGGTTCCACAGCAATCTTGATAACAGATGTGGTGTTGAACTTCAAGGGCCGGAAAATCTGAGCCTGAGATTCAAAATGCAGAAGAATGAGGGCACCTGGACTGATTAGGCACCAAAGATGCAGAGGTCAGAGAGGAGCAGACCATTCCCCACCAGAAGCCACAGTGCTGCTTGGAGGCAGCCTGAAGGCCGTTTATTCCGTGCATTTTGGCAGAATAAAGAGAGAGGGAAAGATAAAGGAACTCCCCCTAATTCCTAGCATCCGAGCAGAGTGCAGGGAGAATTGAGCAGGGTCAGATCGAGAACACTGCTGAGGCCCGGAACCAGGAAGTGGTCATGACTCTGGGTTAGTACCCCGTGAGTTCTGTTGCTGGTTGCTCGCGTGTGGTCTGGCTCTGTGTGACACTCTAGGTTAAACTAATCCAGTTGCTTTTTCAAAAAACTCTACCTCCTCATTGCCCCGGGGTTCAGTTATGGTCGCTGTCTTCACAATTGGTTGATCAACACCTTCAATCAGAACCCAGTTGCCAGCAGGAACACGATTCACCTCAATATGGTACCTGGAGCAACAGATAAGCGAAATAAGGAGGGGTGCCAGGCACTGAGCCAGGCGCAGGGGTGAACCAGACATATTCCAGCAGGGAAGAACACAATAAACAACCAATCATATAACCTCACATATACGTACAGGTGACTCTTGAACAATGTGGAGGTTAGGGGCGCCGACCCCCCATGCAGTTGAAACTTCCGTCTATGTCCTGACTCCTCCCAAAACTTAACTACTAACAGCCTACTGTTGGCTGGAAGCCTTACCGATAACACATATTCTGTGTGTTATATGTATTCTACACTGTATTCTTATAATAAAGTAAGCTAAAAAAATACTAAGTCCTAAAGAAGAGAAAATATGTTTATAGGACTA